AGAGTTGAGGCTCAGGTGTGAAATGTATGGTTTTCAGGGTTTTTAACAGTTTTCAGCGTTATTTTGTTATCGTTTTTATTGTTTACTCGGTTTTCCTGGGTCTTTTCACGTGTGTTATGAATAAATTTTCTTTTTTTCGGTACCGGTACTGGTTTTATTTTGTTGTATTTATCCGCAACACCTTAAAGGCGGTCCATGAAAATATTGTCGGGCATAAACCGGTCCGTGGCGCAAAAAAGGTTGGGGACCGCTGGCTTAAAGGAAAGATTGTCATCAATCACAATACCTAGGTATTTGTATGACGCCGCAGTTTCAATGGAAATGCCTTGAGCAGATACATACCTCTTCTACCATAAAGGGTGTAAAGGAAAAAGTATTAGTAACTGAGGAACTGCCAGCAGAGCTACACAGAATAAGAAGCAACAAAGTGTTTGTTACAACAATTGAGAGTTTTGGTTTTGTCTGACACAGGAGTGGAGTTAATAATTAAGTGAGGAGGTAGCTCTGTGGAATGAGAGCTGACAGAGAGACTTTATAGCTTGCCAAAACCTCACCACCTAGGGTCATTTCGAGTGTCAGTGGTTAAAGTCAAAACGTAGTCACAGTTGGCCTTTCTGCAGCTGATGAAAAAGTGGCCAATCACCATCAGAATCTGATCTCACAGCTGCCCAGGCCTGGTTTCTCTCATGTAGGAGACCAGCCAGTTCAGAACTGAACCAGGGGCTCACCCGACCTTTAACTCTGACCTGACAAAAGGGGGCAAGTAGATAAAACTCTCTGGAAATATTTCCAAGCTAAATCGACATTGTCAATCAATGTAATACAACACCAGTTAAAACTGAAGAAGTTGTGAAGAAAGGCTTGCTCACTGAAAACTCTTTCAATTTCTTTTTGTGATGATGCGGGGCTTGGAGTGTGAGATTTTAATGTTTCCCACAGCACCAACTATGCCTGCTTAATGGGGTTGGAACCATCAGTTGTGTTGTGCAGAAGTCAGGTTGGCACACAGCTGACAACCATTCCACATTATTACAAGAAGCAGTCACCTAAGTAAAGAGAAATCACAGTCCATTATTACTTAAGTTCAGTCAGTCCGGAAAAGAGGATTCCAACAGCAGACACATCTGTGCTAATCAGTCCTTTATGGTCAAATAGCTGCTAAGAAACCACTACTAAGGAAAAGCAACAAACAGAAGAGATTTGTTTGGAGCTAGGAAAAACAAGGAATGGGCATTAGACCAGTGGAAATTTGTGCTTTTGTCTGATGAGTCCAAATTTGAGATGCTTCCACTCTGCGTGTCTTTGTGCTACGCAGAAAAGGTGAACGGATGGTCTCTACAAGCATGGAGGAGGAGGTGTGATAGTATGGGGGTGCTTTGCTGGTGAAACTGTTGGGGATATATACAACTTTATAATATAAAGCAGTTTTTTTTCCATCCTTTTGTTATATTCCTCCCTAAGCGCCTGTCCCACACTCCAGCCCAGTTGAGGGCGGTAATAGACTTTAGTATACGCTTACCAACCCTTATTAAACATAAACGAAGAAGAAGCGGAAGCGGAAGAAGCAATTTGGCGTGTTGTAGCTAACTTATCAGCACCTCATGCTATTGTAATGAAAGCTCCTCTAACATTTAACATGAATAAGCTAGGTCAAGCACAAGACTTTGAGTCATATGAGATCGAAGAGCCGAGCGACGAAGAGCGGGCCGCCAGCAGGTGCGAGGATAACACGGGTGTTTATTTTTAGGGGCCAGCGCAGCTTTGGCGTTGGGAGGCTAAAGTGCAGATAGCTAGCTGGGAGCTAACATGTAAACAAACTAGAATAGCAGGGAGACTGCGCTGAGCCCCTCTTTACGGTGAATTTATTTTAACGTGACATGGATGTTACTGCTTAATTATGTTTATAGAAAGGCGGCAGATTTTTAGAAGTCTAAATGTTGCAGGCAAGCGGGTGAGAAGAAAATAAAATACACATGTATAGATGATTATTATTGCCCTAATTAGCCAAGAATTTTCTGGATTTATTATTATGGCGCTAAATTGGAGAAAATTAAGCAAGACGTCATAATTATTAATAGTTCTAAGTGATGTCTTGCGATGTCTTGATGTGTCCAAAACTTCAAAAGAACTTGTCTACCTGAAGATCTGAAGTTTACTCGTTATTAAAGCAGCAAATATTTATGTACCGATGGATGTAGTGAGTACAGGCAACTTATTTTGGTTTTGAGCTAAGCTTAAAGCAGAAAGACAGTTTCGACGTGGATTCTTGGTTTTCAAATTAAGTGCTTAATTATTTGGTCTGTTAAATACTATACGATACCACTACATGATATAATGTTAC